CTCGATTAGAGAAGATCCTCAGAAACAAGAGGATTCTGAAGGATGTTGAAAAACTGAGCCCTCACCATCAGACCTCATCCCTGGAGGCGTTCCACAGCGTAATTCTGCGCTTTGCGCCAAAGAATGTTGTCTTTTCTTTTCTTTTCTTTAGGTTTTAACTTTGAAGAAAGAGGCACCATTGGCATACACTGCAACAGAAAGCTGGAGGTTCCCTGCAGGAGTGCTTTGTATCATTGGCTGACTAGTCCATTTTCTGAAGAAGTCACAGTGTGGGCAGCATTGTTCCACAGAGAGGAATGTGCCAAATACTTTTCTCTGTACATTGGTAACACGTTGACACACAGGGCATTGCTCAAAGAGCTGCAGCAGGCAGTTTTCATAAACAATATAAGTCGTTGTCTTGTGAACTGGTTTTGAAGACTCAAATCTATTAGAATAATAAAGAGTTACTTAAATAATTTCCAAATTCCACATAAAATAAAATAAAAATTAATATAATTGAACTGATTGAAACATTTAAAAAAAAAATTTGTCGTAACTTACGTCACATTTGTTGGCTCAATCAATGTTGTGACGGAGTTAGCTGGATCATATGTGGTATCCATAGGCTCTTCCACATTCAAACTTGAGCAGGCTCCAGAAGTGTCGTCCTCTTCCTCCTCTAGCTCCAAGCGAGATCTCTTATTTGGCCTCTTTATTGGTGTTGATGATAGCAGTGGTATTGACTGGCCAACACCAATATCTGGGTATACCATAGTTGTCTGTGTGCCTGTTACATAATAGTTGACATTTTAATACTGTGGATCCTCAGGTATGGAGATCTTCAGGATATCGTCCATATAAGGAGTTGGGTCCACAGCAATTTTCTCAAAGATAAGTTGCAACAAGTTATCCACATACTCTGTAAAAAAAAAAAAAAAAAAAATTGTTTTGATCTTTTCAGTTTAGTCTGAAGTTGTGTTGCTCACTTAGTGTTGTGGTTAAATGGTTTTGTATATAATACTGTCTTTTTTTGTAAAATAAAAAGAAAAAACAGACACCTGAAACAGGAATATCAATGCAGTTACAATACTATAGATGTACTTAAAAGTTTTCTTAAATTTTCGTACTGCACTAAACATAAACATACAACACATTATTAGGTATCCTTCAACTACTGCTAGAATCATTACTGACATGACCTCATGTCAGTTTCAGTCACGATAGTTGTACCTAACACTGAGATAACGTCACGCATCACTGACAAGCCTACATTTAAAAACAAAAGTTTTTCAACATAAATCTGTCAACGAACTAACCTATAACTTACATTAGTAACGTTAAACACATAGCGTTTGTATCTCACAACTTTAACGTTACCCTGCCAGTACATACAAAAATAGATCAAAGTGACATTGTTAACCAACCATTCAGAAACGTCCTGTTCGAGCCTTAATTGTCGAACTTCTTCGGGGCCGTCATCTTGTTCCGGGTCCGACTCCGGTTCAAATTGATATGGTTGCACAGATGTGCCCTCGGAGACTCCAGCTGCCATTCTTTCGCCGAAATACACCATCAACTGTTGTCAAAGCAACACTCCACGTGCGTAGTATCAAAAACGCCCGCAGAACAGAGAGGCGGGATGAGCAAAGCTCATTATCATTTAAAGGCATATGCACTGAAACAGCGTGCTCAAAACAGAGCTGTTTTTGACCAGGTAAAATGAGTGTTTTCTTAAAATACTAATGAGAATTTTTAATAAAAGTATATTACAAAGTTTTCATTTAGACCCTAAAGATTCATATTAACTTGTACAAAAATGGCATTATATGACCCCTTTAACAGCAGTAAAACTGAAATTCTTCTGGATGGTTCAAAAACCAATCTGGCCAAATCTAAATGTTCCTCTGTGAATATTAATACTTTTTTTATTTCTAAACAAGTTAAAAGTTTGGGTATCATCTTTGACAGTATTTTATCAATCGAAGCACATATAAACTGTGTCAAGCGCTCTGAATATTTCCACATGCGTAATAATAATCAACCTTGTCCGGCTCTCTCGGTAACTGATTCTTGTCCATGCTTTAGTCACTTCCCGTATTGATAACTGTAACGCTCTTTATTATGACCTGCCTTCAAAGCTTCGCTACTGAATTAAGCTGCTCGAATTATCTGCACAACTCCTCTAGCTGATCACATTACTCCCATATTACACCTAAACAAACCATGGCATTATGTTGGGAATTTGTATTGAATTTTCTTTTATTATAAAACTAAAAAAAAATTAGTTTGTTACAAAATACTGACTGTTTTTATGTGGTTTTATTTCTTTTTCATGCTTTCCCTTTCGATTTTAATTGTATTAATCTATTAAATTGCATAGAATGGGTGCTTAGCCACCCAATCAGTGATTTGCGAATGCATTAGTGTTTTAAGATGTCATGTTACTAAATGGATATCCTCTGTGCAATCCAACATTGTGAACAATTTGCAATAATATTCATCTTCCAGTATATTCCTTTATTTGAGCTAATAGTAGTAGCCCCCATGTGTAGACCGCATCCCACTCCAGACGCCCACTTCAGTCCAAACACGCGGCCCAGTGCCACAGATCGATATCATGCAACATTGAAAAAGGAGAAACTCACAATCAACGCGGTCGTCATGGCAACGGCCCAGCCGGAGTTCCACCAATCAATGGGCTCCATGAGGCAGAGAGATGCTCAGCGGGGATGGCTGCAGACCTGGAGCCGGTAGATATACGCCCCTGGCAGTTTTACGCCCCGGCAGTTTTAGGACCCTGTTGTTCCTGATGCGTCCAGTAGAGGGATATACTGCGAAATAACATCATTAAATCGACGCTTACACATTAATAACCCGTCCATAGACTTGACAATTTTGTGTTTTTTGTTAATTTAAATATAAACGTTATAGTGTAGATCTGCACGGATTCAATTATATTCAGTTGGGCTTCACTCTCTTCACTCAGCCTACAGAAGACTATTTGTTTTTGTGAATTGAAAAATTAAAAATACACATAGTTGGATCAACTATGTGTTATGACAAGTGATGCTATGACCTACTGCAATTATAGGCGTATCCACCGTAGGTTTTTATAAACAGGAGACTGAGTGAAATATGTTTTTGTGAATTTATATAAAGTCACATTTAGATATTAACCATATTTAGCCCATTAGACAGTACTGTGTAATCATATGGATCATCGAGGAAATATCTGCTGTACTATTTTCTATTGGTCATCATACAGCTACAAAACAGTGTTCTACACAGCATTTTATGAAGACAAACACAATTTATCCCTTTTCTAAAATTCCATGGGCCGTTTAGAAGAAATAGACAATATTGTTGTTCACAAAAAATATTTATATATTAAATATTAACCATTTATGAATTATGATGACTCCCCTATGGTTTGCCACTCTTCTTTAACTGTTTTTTTCTTTAACTGCTCCCGCTCACTGATGAAACATTAAAAAATGAAACATTAAAAAAAGTTAAAAAGGACATCCATGCTGAATTTGATCTTGTCCCTGTGTGTGTGTGTGTGTGTGTGTGTGTGTGTGTGTGTGTGTGTGTGTGTGTGTGTGTGTGTGTGTGTGTGTGTGTGTGTGTGTGTGTGTGTGTGTGTTTCCTTAATTTCCTTAAGTAGCTAAAGCAAACACAGAGCTTTATGAGATCCAAGTTAAAGAGAAGTTGGTAAAGACAGAGTATGATAAAACCCACATTAAGTGCACATACCCTACATTTGAGTCCAGATCAGTAAGCTATTTAAAAAAAAAAATGTATATTAAGATATAAATTAGATAATTAGATCATCTCATTTATAAGAAACAACTCAAACCAGAATCTACATTCAAACCATATGGGGAAAGTTTTTAATGTGTTTTAACGTATTTGAGTGAGTGTGCAGTTTAACTCTTTACTTAGAGAGAGAGAGATAAAGATTTACATACCTATTATAAATACGTGTCTTTTGTGTGTTCACACCATATACTGTAAAAAACAATTCACATATTTTCATTATCCACTGTAATGTTGCTCTATAAACCATGTGGAGTATGTTTTAATGCAATGAGTAAACAGAGTCTTACCAGAAGAGGCCAAGCTAAAGACAGGCAACAAAAGTAAGTTAAAAAGAAAATTAATTTTATATTGAGTAGAGAAGACTAGGGGCAGCTAAACCTGCTACACGTGGTTAGCTAAGTTTAAGCCAGATAGAACAGAAACCTGTCAAAATACATTATAGACCCATCCATTGATATATAAATGAATTGATATCTACCTACTAGCTCTATCGAGCTAATCGTTTATAAATAATAAATGTTGCATCATTGCTAAACAACAATCACTTTAGCAGATTAACATACAGAATCTATTTTTGTCAGATTTTCATTCTAACGATGTTAATCTTGATTATACGGTAGGCTATTATTACTTTGTCTTCCGGGCAAGTTTCATCTTCATAAAGACAGAACCATTCAATGTAATCCTGATTTAAGAATATTCTCCTCTGAAATAAACGTCCCTTTTTTCTTTTTTTTAAGAAAATGTCAAAACCTTTAAACTCAAAGGTTTCTAAAACAAATAATATCCTGGAGTCTGTTGTAAAGAACCTTATTTTTTTTTTATATTGACAAAATGTAATTTTGTATTGATTTGTGTACTAATTCAAATCAATACCCGCCCCAAAGCAATTCACAAATTCAATTCACAAAAACAAATAGGTCTTCTGTAGGCTGAGTGAGTGAAGCCCAACTGAATATAATTGAATCCGTGCAGATCTACACTATAACGTTTATATTTAAATTAACAAAAAACACAAAATTGTCAAGTCTATGGACGGGTTATTAATGTGTAGGCTAAGCGTCGATTTAATGATGTTATTTCGCAGTATATCCCTCTACTGGACGCATCAGGAACAACAGGGGCGTAAAACTGCCAGGGGCGTATATCTACCGGCTCCAGGTCTGCAGCCTCCCCATCCCCATATATAGCAGTGATGTGCCAACGTCCTACATAAAGAGGGTGGGACGGGGAGCCTGGGCAGCACATACTGAGAGAGAGATTGGGGTGAAAAAAAGGCATCCAGAAAAAAAGAAGGACGACATTAAATACAGGACGAGACATGGTGACCTTCGGACGAATCGTTCCTGCAGTGTTCTGCCTGGCCAACCTTTGTGTTGCACTGTGTGTAGGAGGTAAGATCATGGGCGTAGGTTTGGTCTCAGCTTTGGTGGGGACATAAATATACATTACATAAACAGAATGTAGAAACGAAAAATGTCTCAGATGATCCACTGTTTATGACTGCAAGATTCTGAGATAAGGTAGGCTAATTAACATTCAGTGACTTGCTAACGTAGCATTCTATCATGATAGTGCGACTTCTATGTCTATCCGTGCTGCACAATGCACATTAATGCTCCTAACCTTGAAAGATTGCAGAAGCTAGGTTTAACTGTAACAATATCCTGGGTAACCAGGATCACCAGTTAATACTATTTTCCGCAGTAGAATCTGCATTTGAAAGCCTGGTCTGTCACTACTACTGCTAGTTAAACTCGTGGAGTTAAGTAAATTTGGCAATAAATTCACAGATTCGAACTTCCCGGGTCAATAACTCCTCAGCTAAATGTTGTTACTACACAAATGACACCTCTTTTTAATCGTAGTAATGTAGACAAGCAGCTACAACCTATTTTTCCCCAAAACGAGCTTTCCTTCGCAGTGGATAAAATACATTGATCTCTATGTAAATCACTGTATTGTTACCAAATTCAGTTTACACATCACTGCTGTTCTGATGGTTATACTACAACACTTATTTTGGGAAAAATATATTTTTAATTGTATATACAATTGTAAATGTATAATTTTTATGATTTTTATTATGAAAAATTTTCAATAACTTCACTGTAATCCACTGTATTGTTGCCTAATTCATTTTACACATCACTGCTGTCCTGTTGGTTATACTACAACACTTATTTTGGAAAACTATTTTTTTTTAAATTGTATATACAATTATAAATGTATAATTTTTATGATTCTTATTAAAAATATTCAATAACTCCACTGTAAATCACTGTATTGTTGCCAAAATCAGTTCACACATCACTGCTGCCCTGATGGTTATACTACAACCCTTATTTTGGGAAAAATATATTTGTAATTGTATATACAATTATAAATGTATCATTTTTATGATTATTATGAAAAATATTCAATAACTCCACTGTAAATCACTGTATTGTTGCCAAATTCTGTTCACACATCACTGCTGTCCTGATGGTTATACTACAACACTTATTTTGGAAAAAAATATTTTTTTATTGTATATACAATCATAAATGTATAATTTTTATGATTCTTATGAAAAATATTCAATAACTCCACTGTAAATCACTGTATTGTTGCCAAATTCAGTTTACACATCACTGCTGTTCTGATGGTTATACTACAACACTTATTTTGAAAAATAAATAAATTATTAATTGTATATACAATTATAAATGTATAATTTTTATGATTCTTATGAAAAATATTCAATAACCTCACTGTAAATCACTGTATTGTTGCCAAATTCAGTTTACACATCACTGCTGTTTTGATGGTTATACTACAACACTTATTTTGGGAAAAAATATATTTTTAATTGTATATACAATTGTAAATTTATAATGTTTATGATTTTTATTATGAAAAATATTCAATAACTTCACTGTAATACACTGTATTGTTGCCAAATTCAGTTTACATATCACTGCTGTCCTGTTGGATATACTACAATACTTATTGTGAAAAAAAAAAGAAGTATTGTATATACAATTATAAATGTATAATTTGTATGATTCTTATGAAAAATATTCAATAACTCCACTGTAAATCACTGTATTGTTGCCAAATTCTGTTCACACATCACTGCTGTCCTGATGGTTATACTACAACACTTATTTTGGAAAAAAATATTTTTTTATTGTATATACAATCATAAATGTATAATTGTTATGATTCTTATGAAAAATATTCAATAACTCCACTGTAATACACTGTATTGTTGCCAAATTCAGTTTACATATCACTGCTGTTCTGTTGGTTATACTACAACACTTATTAAAAAAAAAAAAAAAAAAAAAATTGTATATACAATTATATATTTATTATAGCGCGAGTGAATGTGTCACATGACTTCAAGAGCAGCGAGCAGCATTCAAAGCCTTTCATTAACAAGGTCTTGCTTGTGATTTTGTATTCAGGCTTGCATGTTTTTCCTGGGCTCTTTGACACCAAAAGTGCCTTTGCAAGCTGAAATGCAATATAATTGCTCTCATACTTAATATTGTATGACTAATTAGGGCCCAAGCCTTGAAAAGGCGAAGGCCCTATTGTTTTCCTAAGGATTATTATTTATTATTATTAGGGCCCAAGCCTTGAAAAGGCGAAGGCCCTATTGTTTTCCTTAGGATTATTATTAGGGCCCAAGCCTTGAAAAGGCGAAGGCCCTATTGTTTTCCTAAGGATTATTATTTATTATTATTATTATTATTATTATTATTATTATTATTTTACTACCTTTTGGGCACTTTTGGGGGCCTTAACGTGCTCGAAAACTCTTGAAACTTTGCACACATCTCAGAACCCGCGGCCATCAGGGCCGGGCTGAAGCTGGTACCCGGGCGTGGCAGGGGGGCTCGACAGCGCCCCCTGGAACGGGGTTTGAACACTTGGTCCATAAATCAAACACGCTTGCATGTAATAATATGAAACTCAGTACACATATAGATCTCATCGGTTCATATATACTTCATGCTCTTACTTTTTACCCCAGCCCAACAGGAAGTCGGCTATTAAGGGTTGTTTGGAAAACACATGCAATGGAATGTGAAATACTCCTCCTAGAGAATTCAAACACACGGCACGAAACTCGGTCAGCATGAAGTCAAGACACTGAGGATGAAAAATTGCCAGGGGATTTTTGATATCTCGAACGGTTTGGCCGTGGCGAGTAAACGAAATTATGGCGAGAAACGTGAAACAGGAAGTGTGTTATAACTACTGCATACATTAACTAATCTTGATGAAACTTCAGCAGTGTGTTCGTTGTAAGAGCCCGATCACATGGATGTGACTATTGTGAGTCAAAGTTATAGCGCCACCAACTGGCAGCAGGAAGTGTGTCACTTTCAAAATGCTTTTAAATCACCCTCTTATTTTTACCCGATTTGCTTCAAACTTCATGTGCATAATGTAGACACACGCCAGATGTAGACCTGTGAAAGGATTATTGATATCTTAGATACTGTTGCCATGGCAATGCATCAAACATTAATATTCCTTTTTTTAAGCTTTTTCATGCTTTTTTATGCTTTCGGGCACTTTTGGGGTTCTTAACGTGCTCGAAAACTCTTGAAACTTTGCACACGGGACAAAACCCGCGGCCATCAGGGCCAGGCTGAAGCTGGTACCCGGGCGTGGCAGGGGGGCTCGACAGCGCCCCCTTGAACGGGTCAGACAATTTGGTCCATATATCCAACACGCTTTACCCTATTTGCTTCAAACTTGATGTGTATAATGTAGACACAAGCCAGATGTAGACCTGTGAAAGGATTGTTGATATCTTAGATGCTGTTGCCGTGACAACGCATCAAACTTTAATATTCTTTTTGGATACTTTTGAGATTCTTAGCGCACTTTTGGGGCCCTTAACATGCTCAAAAACTCTTGAAACTTTGCACACGGGTCAGAAACCGCGGCCATCAGGGCCGGGCTGAAGCTGGTACCCGGGCGTGGCAGGGGGGCTCGACAGCGCCCCCTGGAACGGGGTCCGAAAACTTGGTCCATAAATCAAACAGGCTTTACCCGATTTGCTTCAAACTTGATGTGTATAATGTAGACACACGCCAGATGTAGACCTGTGAAAGGATTGTTGATATCTTAGATGCTGTTGCCGTGACAACGCATCAAACTTTAATATTCTTTTTGGATACTTTTGAGACTCTCAGCGCACTTTTGGGGCCCTTAACATGCTCAAAAACTCTTGAAACTTTGCACACGGGTCAGAACTCGCGGCCATCAGGGCCGGGCTGAAGCTGGTACCCGGGCGTGGCAGGGGGGCTCGACAGCGCCCCCTGGAACGGGGTCCGAAAACTTGGTCCATAAATCAAACACGCTTGAATGTAATAATATGAAACTCGGTACACATATAGATCTCATCGATTCATATATCCTTTGTACTTTTACTTTTTACCCCAGCCCAACAGGAAGTCGGCTATTATGGTTTGTTTGGAAGCGTATGCCCCTGGAATTCGATATACTCCTCCTAGAGAATTCAACCAATCGCCACGAAACTCGGTCAGCATGAAGTCAAGACATTGAGGATGAAAAGTTGCCAGGGGATTTTTGATATCTCGAACGGTTTGGCCGTGGCGAGGAAACGAATTTATGGCGAATAAAGGAAACAGGAAGTGTGTTATAACTTCTGCATACATTAACTGATCTTGATGAAACTTCAGCAGTGTGTTCGCTGTAAGAGTCCGATCACATGGATGTGACTATTGTGAGTCAAAGTTATAGCGCCACCAACTGGCAGCAGGAAGTGTGTCACTTCCTAAAGGCTTTGAAATCACCCTCTTATTTTTACCCAATTTGCTTCAAACTTTATGTGTATAATGTAGACACACGGCAGATGTAGACCTGAGAAAGGATTATTGATATCTTAGATACTGTTGCCGTGGCAACGCATCAAACTTTATTATTCTTTGTTGATGCTTTTGAGACTCTTAACATACTTGAAATTGCATGAAACCCGACAGACACATCACATTTATTAGACAGTAGACATGTGCAGAGTTTCAGAAACGGGCGTGGTGAGGGGCTCAGTAGCGCCACCTTTTGTCAAAAGTGGGGGGATTGATTTTATCTACAGTAATAAAAATCGGTATGTGTATTGTTCTCCTCCAGCCAGACAACTTTCTAATTTACACTCAATAGCTCCAACCAACAGGAAGTCAGATATTTTGGTTTGAAAATTGTCATTTTATGTCTCTCTCTCTCTGAGCCTACGTCTATGTGTGTGTGTGTGTGTGTGTCTGTGAGGGTGGGGAGGGGGAGGGGGGCTAGATTAACCATTTGACTGCTGTGTGGTTTGGCCTGCATTAAAAAAGAAAAAAAAATGTCTTACGCCTTGTATTTTTTAAAT